AAACATTAGCTGCTAGTTTATATTTTAATTAGGCTAAATCAAGTTTTTACAAATAATAACTCGTCTGGTTTATTTAGCAACCGGAGATATTTATAGTCCGCTCAGCTTGTAGAGCCCTTCAGGTTGAAAAATGCATTTTTGTTTTTCATGAAACACAAAGGTAGGCATAGTTATTTTTATTTTATTTTTAATTACACATAAAACAATTAATCAAACAGGATTCTTAGGCTTGAAACGCTGTACTCTCCTCCTGACTTGGTTGTCTGGACTGCTGCATAAAACTCCCGCAGGGTCTCATTCAAAGCAGCAGCGGTGTAATTTTCTTTGCGACGTTTCTCCGTTTTATTTAAATTTTTTCTTTCTTCAGCAGCATCGCAGTCGTCAAAGTTGTCATATTCTCCATAAATGTTAAAAGAAATAACGAAGTCGCTCGTTGTTGTATTAGTAGGCTATGGAATATCTAACTAACGTTAGATGTTTGCTATGGTTACTCACAGCTGTTGTGGGCAGCGCATTTATTTATTCATTTCGAATGGTAAACAGGCAGTTTCACCAGAACTACTTTACTAGGTGTCCTCTATCACTTTTTAACGGACACCCTGCAGCCAATCAGGATCGAGTATTCACCCAGACCATGGTATAAAAAAGAATAATCTTTTGAATGATATGTATATACCATGAAACTGCATTTTCAGAAAATCATTACATTTTTATTCTGACAGGATTCAGCAGACCGAATAGCTGCACGGCTAGTGTTATTTTCACCTGCGTGTCAATAGTCGCTCTGAAGTATTTGATGTATTTATGCACGCTATGAATATTTTTATAAAAGGAAAGAGAGATGTGATGTTGGCTTGGATATTTCGTCAGAGAGTAAACATTTACCTTTGATATGAGAGGCATGAGGTGCAGACGGAGCTCAGCTTGGTATCGGCCCCGTGTGAAAAGCATCTAACCAGGACGTTCAATCAATCAGACAAACGCTGTGTTCTCCAGAGAAAGATGATGGATGAAAGAAATGGGGTGATAAATAATATTTGTATGTGGAATACAGAATGCCTTCAAAAAAAGAAACATTTGATAGTTATTTCAGCCATGTGTGGCAAACTTCTACACATTTGAAGCACTTGAAACTACAGTTTTACAACGAAACCAAAATAAAGTTTGTCTTGTGCATGTAGTCATGAAATTGCTTAATGTTTATAAAATTACTAGAATGCTAAATGTACCTAGCTATTTGCTACACTCTTAAAAATAAAGAACATTTAACATCCATGTGATTTTTACATTGCACAAAAGTTCTTTAGTTCCCTTTCAGTCGCTCACATTCGACGTCACGTCTCCCGTTCCCTCCTTCAGGGAAAGAGGGTTACAATAGTAACCGAGACCATTTTTCCTCAAATGCTTTCACTGAAAAGTTCTTTGGGCAACCAACAATGTTAAGTTATTATAAGTCAAGCATGTATAGACTCAAAATACATACATTAATAAAAAAAAAATTTAGTCAGCAAACAAAACAAAACAAAATCTAAAAGTACACTAAATACGAAACACGCACTCTTTTCTCCTCCAGTATTTAAAAAAAACAAATTAAAAGGTAGCGAAGTCATGCAAATTCGTCCGAGTGAATTTTTATTTGCCTAAACCCTTGTGACAGGTAGGTTTAGAGGCGGGGTCAGGGGTAGGTCATTCATATGAATTTGGTAACTCGTAAAATATGTACGAATTAGCAAAAATCGTACAAATTTGCCGGGGCGTAGAATATAATAGGGACGCTACACTCTAAAAAATGCTGGGTTGTTTTAACCCAATTTTGGGTCAAATATGGACAAACCCGAAATGTTGGGTTAAAAATGTAATGTAAAAATTTAACCCAACTGCTGGGTTAGTCCATATTTGACCCAAAGTTGGGTTAAAACAACCCAGCATTTTTTAGAGTGTAGGAACGTGTCCCTACCAATATCCAGTGACACTGATATATCCCTATAGCAATAATTTCTATCAAAACTTAAAATATATTTATATATCGATGTCCCCGTCCCCACCAATTTCAAAAACAAACCTGTCAAAATCAAACATGCGGTCGTATGAATTCGTACGAATTAGCCACCTCGTAAAATTCGTACGAATTGCCGTGAGATTACATATTTTCAGCTCTGGTCCATAAACTGCCAAATTAACGGCACAGACAATCCCTCTCGCCCCCCTTTGAGTTGTAAGGCTTGTTACCACGGCAGCAATGTATTTTTCCGAATTCTGACACATGACATGGGACTCATAGCGCGAGACGACGACAAAAAAAAAACCCACAAAAAAACAAAAAACGGCAAGATGTGCCGTAACAGCCAAAGATATCTATGTAGTGCACATACATACATTCACATGGGGGAACGTGATTTCACCAAGTAGTTCCTGGACATGAACATTATTCTAATCAACCAATCAGATTTGAGGGGTGGGTTTACAGTCAATATCAAGTTCAGGGTTAAAACAAGGGTTAGGAGCTTATAAGCCATTCGTATTCACCTATCATTTCCCTCTGATTTTAGGGATCATGGTGCGTTCATGTGCTATGGTAATTATGGTAAATACCAAAAAGCCGACGTGGAAAATGCACATGAACACCCCCTCATGTGGTATTTTCCACTGGGTAACTGGGTAACAAGTTGCCGAGATAACCTTTGACCTTTTCAAAATGGCGGAGAGCAACGCGAGAGTCGTGAATGGTAAAAATATATACTATTCATGATCTAGAAAATACACACAGCATATTATATATTTACCGTTTGAGTTTTGATAAATCATTTTCTTGCTGTCGCAGATGACTTAAGCAATCTAAAATAGTTTTAGCTAAATAACAGGTCTGGATCTCCATCTTTTTACCACATTACGACAACAAAAGCACTTGAACGCAACACTCTGGTAAATACCAGTTCACAAGTGGAAAATATCATATTTTCCATAGCACGTGAACGCAGCATAATTTATGGGTAGGGTTAGGTTTAGGGGTAGGGATAGAGTTAGGACTATGTTTTTGGAAAGTAATGTAATTGGAAAAAATCACAGCGTTAGCATGATAGAAGTCATGCATCCTATGTGAACGGATTCTAGAAATTGCAAATGGCACAGCCATTATACCCAACATTTACATTTAATTGCATACAGTCAAATTCTTGATTACTATTAATATACTGTAGATATCTATATTTTTATTTATTTACACTACACTAGGAAAATTCATGAGAGCTCACTTGAGAGCGTAAGTTTCAATAATAACATTACATCTTGTCTCCATTAATGAAACCTAAAGTCCTGATTTAAAAACCCTTCAGTGAAAGCATTAAACAGTGCATTTTCACTCCATAAGGGCTACTGAAAGTGCTGCCATGCATATTAATTGGTTATTAATTAGCCCTGGCTCTCTTGTCTCTAATGTGTTTATGAAGTGCCGGGAGACGCAGGGTCCTCCTGCGCTCATTTAGTGCTCACTTAGGCTGCATTTACACGTCAGGTCTTGATGTCCAATTCCGATTCGTTGAATATATCTGATATTCTTGACAACCAGCTTACGTCTGCTTTTAAAAGTGACCCCTATCCGATATCTGCATTTACACTTGGCGAAACAACCTAAATGTAGAGGTACTGACCTGGAAAAGCTTATGCCGAAAAGGAAGCAAAAATGTGACACAGATGAAATGATAATACAAGCTTTGGCTTTCCTCAACATCTTTAAAGGTCAGCAAAACCTTGAGTTCAGAATTCGTCCTCCATTGAGCATTGGAAAAAGAGTCATGTGATCACGGTTGGTTTCCACATGAGTTGACATTCGACACCGTAGCTTTTTCAATGATGAATATCCGATCTGTGCACATACACGGCAGATGCAAATGCACATATCCGATAAATATTAGATTTATTTCCACATATGAATGAGGCCTGATCTGAAACAAATCTGAAAAAAAGTAATGTAGATTCGGTCTAAGTGTACGGTTGGGTTTTAATTGAAGCGGTAATTGCAACAACTTTGTTGTACGCTGTTAAAAAAAATGCTGGATAGTTGTCGGTCAAGCTGTCAGACCAGCTATTCGTTAGCAAAACAAATAAAACAAACAGGTAATCCTGGACGGTACACGGAACAAACAAACAACAACTGAAGCACAGAGGTTTAAATACCCAGGCAAACAAGCTAAACAAGATAACAAGGGGGCGGGGCTAATTAGAAACACCTGGAGACACTAATAAACAAGAAAAACTACAAAGGACTACAAAACATGGCACAGAACAGGAAATAACAAAAATATTGTAATTTTCCATATTAAAAAAGGTAAACAAACTCAAACTAAATATGCACTAAATACGAACACAAATTATGGAAGTGATTAATAAGGCCATGAGATAAATATATATATATATAATTCTTATAATTTTTTTGCCCTGTATGTTTTGCTCATTTTTATAATTTTCCTTGGATCTTTTTCAAAATCGAGTAAGATGCCTACCTAGACTTAGACTTTAAGGCATCATAAGCACTGCTGATGTAAAGTCTGTTCCAAAAGGTCAACATCATTTGCTGCCTTTTACTCATTTTGAACCATTTCAAAGGCGGAAACGCATGTAAACACATCCTTTATAAATAATGCAGTGAAAATACATTCAAGATAGCCGATTAAAATGTAGACTACAAAAACTTACATTTCATTCAACACAAAAAAGCATTGATAAAAACTATCTATTTTACCCATTATTTTGTGTGATATCAGACTATCCCCATTAAGTTAGCATCATGCTAACATCAAACAATGATGCCTTTGAATGCAACTGATTTGCTTGCTATTTTGGGACAGAGCTCAAGAATGTGATTTATTATGTGAAGATGAGAATGGCTTATTATTGGTAGTTTTCTTTCATTCTTCTACAGATTTCATTCTTCTAAGTTTATGGAAACCTTCCAGGAAATAAATTGGAAGAGAAAATCCTTCACATACTACCAGAGTGCCGGTCGACAGTTGAGACGCAAAGCATCAGTGCGTGAGAGAGACTGCAGTGATGCTGCAGAACCGTGGATCCGTCCCAGCCTGCATGACTCAGAGCCGCGTGTCTCGCTGACGTGAGGGGGAATCCAAACAGCATGGAGATCTGATGGAGGCCGTTTCTCTTCAGACGCGATGACAATCTGCTGCACACCGAGATAGAAAGAGAGTATGCATAACACAGAATAGTTTATCCAAAAATGACAATATGTGCTGCAGGGATGACATATTTTTATATGCCAAACCACGAAAATGAGTTTCGTTTTTTTACTAGAAAAGGTTTTCATGCTTGACTGTTGAAAAATCTCATTATTTTACACATATTTTACATAATTCAAGCTCCTCTCTTCCCAGTCTATCTAAAACTCTTACAAAAGCAAGACACATTGACACTGTGATGTTAGCTAGCAGGCTAGTGAAGCTAAACCTTTGTTTACATCATAGCAAAAACATAAAACATATAATTGTAACGGTCAATAGGAAACACAACAACAAAAATAAAACACACTTATAGGTTGTGATCCATAAACAACTGATTGCACCGACAAAATGGGAATTGCGGCGTGTTTTAGGAGAAGCTTTTGTGCGTATAGCCGACATTGTACTCTAATAGGTATCTGCACACTCTAAAATGTGCAGCACACAGATGAAATAAAAACATTTTAACCAGTGGCGGCTCCTGCAAAATCTCTCAGGGGGGGCAAATATTTGGATGATTGATAAGGACAAGGCCCACCCATGCAATGGATAAATTAAGAGCTTAAGCATGTAAAGTCAACTTCACTTTAATATTAATGACAAATAAAGTGACTTAATAACAATAAATCTTCTTGTTTCTATACTCACTATTATTACACTTATTACATCACATTAAAGAGATTCGGCACACAAATTAAGATATTTTTGATTATATCTAAGAGCTGGATCACTCCTCCATACACAGCAAATTCTGGTTTTTGGAATAAACTCCGTTAGTTAAAATCAACTCAATCTGAGTGTACATGTGAGACCATCAAATAGACTCCAGCACAGAGTTAAAATAACTGCTCTTGGAGTTGAATTTTTAACACTTTTTCAGAGTTAAAATTTATGGAGTTAAAATACTAAACCTACGGAGAGTAAATGGAACTCTAAAAATAATTATATGAACTCATTACCAGTGTTAAAAAGTAACACTTAAAAAAATATTTAGAGTTAACATTTATTTAACACAATATAATGTTTTGTGTGGAAATTACTGCACTGAACACCATATTCTTGATTTACTGCCTTTATTTCAGCAAATCCATTTGGTTCAGATTTGAGGAGGAGTAACCTTCAACCGCTTGTCTGCAGGACAGTCGTATCTGAAGATCACAAAAACAACAGTATGAGGAATAATCTAGCACCATTCATTGAGAATGCAAAAATATATTAGCTGAAAATCATGCACATCGTGATCGTGGGTCACCACTAATACGTAGCCTAACGTTATAGCTGTTACAATTCAAATCATTGCAGGCCTACACAGCACAACTATATCTTATTTTCCAGGGTAACGTTAGACACTGCAATTGTGTAACCACGCTATTCCTGTAATGCATTGATGCATCAATTTCACGGTAAAACACTCATTTTCAGAAACATGGTGAATGGAAAGACGGTTAGCTAATGTTAACTCGTTTACATCGACAAAAACTCCACGCAAATAGCCATTTAAAAATTTGAAACAATAAGTAAACAAACGTTCAACAGCAAGTTTGTCAGAGTCGTTGACGTTAGTAAACAGTATAACTAGCCTATAACTTAACAGCTACGCGATGACCAAACGTGTTTGTCAGAAAATATAGAACATTTTTAAATATATTCTCTTTTACCTACCTCACGACGAGGCACATAAGTCCATTATTCCTTTATCCAGCGGCAGGGTCGTGTCGTGGCGCACTTCTCAAAAATAACTCCAGGTGTAGCTAGCTAGTGTTAAAACCAAAACACACTCCTGAACACCAATGAATGAACTGAAAATACAACACAGCCGGGGAGTATCCAATAACACAAAGTGTAGTCAGAGTTAAAAAAATAAAAACTCATGATTTTTCAACTCCTGAAATTTGCTGTGTAGGCTTCTAAAGGACTGTGTTCGCCATGACGTTGTTCAAGTTCAACTGTCTAAGCCACAACTCGCGAGATGTCCCAACAGTCTCTCTCACTCTCGCTTTTTTTTTAAATCAATTTGATAAAGATAATAAAGTAGTGTTTCATTTTTTTTATTGTTCCTGTTTGAATTCAAAAATGTTTTAAAATATTATTTGTCAAATATTAAAGATTTTTAATAGTGTATGTTTGTTCCCACCAATCGCTGCACAAGTTAAGGATACGTATGATGATGTAAGCACGCTAGTGCGAGCCCTCCCGGAACCCATAGAGAATGCGTTGCAGTGCCTGCAGTTCGAAAAAAAACATCTTTGAATGCAAGTCTATGGGAACACTCTGGGCGATTCTCAGCCAGAGTGAAATCGCCCAAAAAGAGGCGGTACTCCACAGAACGTGACATGACGCTGATTGGACTATATAGTGATGGCTAGCGTAACTCTCTGGTTGAATGAGATTGTGAATGTGATTCACATTTTGGAGGTGCGTCGCCCAATCACCCCAATGAAGAAACCGCCCCTGATTTTAACCACGGTTTTCTAAGTTCATCCACCTTAGGAAGGCCAAACAAAGTGGTTTTTGTAACTGGGGTAGAAAAAAAACGCATCTTTTTAATTAAATGAAAAAACTGCTTCTTTTTTAGCGCAGCTCAACCATAGCCTGGTCCCACCAGACTCTTGTGCAATAGTCTGGAATTGCTCTATTGACAAGCGTTAACTTCTTTGACTCTGTTGAAGTCTAAAACTATTTGATCTGCTCAGAGTCAATCAGGGGTGAGTTTCCCAAAAGCATGGTTAGCCAACTATAATCGCAAGTTATCGGCACAGTTCAACGAGTCGGTGTTTCCCGAAACAATCGTTCCAATGAACATTCGCAAACAGCATCGCAAAGTTGTGTGGTTTAAACAACAGCTCTCGACCTGTGGTTAGAAGTATCGTTTCTATATTGCAGCACATTTGGACGTAATAAATCCTTATCTTGAGCAAAATAAGCAAGCTGACATTCAGTACAACCGGTCCTTTTATTTAGAATACATACAAATGTAATTTACGTCTTTTAGTTTGTCAAAAGATTTAAAGCGCCGTGTTTGAAGAGTGTTACGTAAGAACGAGACAAATATTGAGTCTGTTAATAAAGCAAAATAACTGAGAATTAGAAATAGTCCTCAGATGACATGTCTGTAATTTATATTTTAAAAATCTAGCGTTACATACTCCACCATGTGCGAAACGAACGTAGTTGAACGATACTTTGCGACAATGGGTTTCGGTAAACAGTCGCGACTAGCTAGTTGATTTCTCCAACGATGCATTGTACTATGGCAGTGAAGCAGCGAACTACATAGTTGTACAGGAAACACACCCTCGGATCAGACATAGCCAATCACTAACGTTTGGTCATGACGTTTGACGACTCAAACTAGTCATCGTTCTCAGCCACTCCCTCTGTTTGCCGATTGGCCTGGTAAAAAACTGATCGGGTTAATCAGCTGATTTTAATTTCACTTTGATTTTCAAAAATGAAACTGATTTTCATTTTTGGCCCGGGAAAATTTAAATTGAGTGGAAGTACATCTCATCCCAAATTTTCCTGATTCTGTGGACGGAGATTATTTAAATGAGTGAGATTGAGACTTCACAAGATCAGGAAGAAGTAGTAGCCCCAACGAGCCGTTTGGTGTAGTTCTTGAAAAGCGTTTTCTGTTAAAGCGAATAAATAATAATTCATAATATTTATATAGCGCTTTTCTGGACACTCAAAGCGCTTCACATAGAGGGGGGTGGATCTCCTCAACCACCACCAATGTGCAGCATCCACCTGGATGATGCGACGGCAGCCATATTGCGCCAGAACGCTCACCACACATCAGCTTACTGGTGGAGAGGAGACAGTGATGAAGCCAATTGGTAGATATGGGGATGATTAGGAGGCCATGATGGACAGAGGCCACTGGGCAAATTTGGCCAGGATGCCGGGGTTACACCCCTACTCTTTCGAAAGACATCCTGGGATTTTTAATAACCACAGAGAGTCAGGACCTCGGTTTAACGTCTCATCCGAAGGACGGTGCTCTATGACAGTATAGTATCCCCATTACTATACTGGGGCGTTAGGAACCACACAGACCACAGGTGAGCACCCCCTGCTGGCCTCACTAACACCTCTTCCAGCAGCAACCTGGCTTTCTCAGAAGGTCTCCCATCCAGGTACTAACCAGGCTCAGCCCTGCTTAGCTTCAGTGGGCAACCAGGCTTGGGCTACAGGGTGATATGGCTGCTAAATATCTCCCTTTGTGGTGGACTTTGACGTTTGGAACCTTGTAGATATCCTTTTTATGCTCAAACAGCAACATTAACACTAACTGAAGTTGAAAAAGCATAAGAGGACCCCTTTAAATAAAGAGTTGTCGGATGTCATATCCTATGTTTACCTTTTTGCTTCTTGTATTTAGGCTTCAAAATTAATGAAAGTTGTGTTAATTTGTGAATATTTTCATGATGAACTAAATGTGTAAGAATCATAAACTTTTGTTGGTCACAGACACAGAGCTCATTTTCTGCAACAATACAAACGCCAATGGAAAAACCCAATTGGGGTTTTGTCAAGGGAACCAGAGCGACGAAACACGTCATCACTGCAGCACTCGATCATCTTTTACTCTTCCTCATGTCTCTTTTTCACACAAAACAAATGGCTTCAGGAAGAGTTGGAAAACAGAGCATATAAATATGCAGTTTTATAATACTTATATGTTTGACCGTGACATTACGAGGCTCATGGTTTGACTCTTACCTCAAATCAGTCCCCTTGAGAAGTAAAAACCCAACACATCCAGGCCTGACGGGAGACTCGTGCACGTCCCAGCTGCTCCGATAAGGCTTCACCAGTCCCGTCATGAATAGCAGATTCATCAGTTTTACGAGACGTTTCACGCCCAGCGGGTTTCAGAGATTTAAACTGCACTACATAAACCCGAGGACAAAGATTTACAGGAAAGTGAGATGAGTCACGATTACGGTGAATGAGGGGACTGTAATAGGTGCAGGCATTGCTGTCTGCTTTGATTTGTAACATAGTGATCACAGAGGAATTTCGAGGTGAAAACCTCTTTCGTGCACATACGCACATCCACACACTCTCACAGGAAATTAGAGTCAGAACGCTGACTCACATTAAGGATCGAGCGCTGGTGCACAGTTTTATTCGACACATCTTCTGTTAAAGACTTTCTTAAAAGCATGGATACATGCAATATTGATTTTTTTTAAAGATTTATTTTAGCTTTTGTTTCGATAATAAAGCTTTAGAGAACACGGGAAGCACAATGGGGTTGAGATCTGTAAAAGACAAAGAACTGGGATTCAAACTTAGGCCGTCGAAAGCGCAACCTGTTCACACCCGGACGAATTTCGCGCACAATATTCGCCGTCGTTTAACGCCTCGCGACTAAACATGTGAGAAGTAGAGGGGGTTTGCGAGAATACGGGAAGCAAAATGGGGTTGAGATCTGTAAAAAAAGACAAAGAACTGGGATTCAAACAATCATTTTCTCACCAATGATGACAAAAAAAGGTTCAGTTATTTGATATGAACAAACATGACTATATTATTTTGTTTTCTGAATGTCTCAGTCTCCCTCATTCCTTGTCTTTTTCTCTGGTTTTCTCTCAGACAGGCTCAAGCCGTGTGACCTTTTCTGTGGAAGTCACAGCTGATAGACATGTCACTGTGATCAATACCTCGGTAATGCATTTCCCACGGTTCTCTCTCTCCGAAGGCTCTTTGTTTCTGTTTCCATCTGCAGAGATTTCCTGCCCGCTCCGACACAACTCTAATAATGAAGCATTTCATCTGTAGTCGCCTTAAATATTGCAGTAACTCCACGTGTTCATGTGAGAGGACGGCTGACATGGTCACTCAAGGCTGATTTGTGAAAGCACATAGATACTGAAAATGGAGAAGAAATGGAAATTATTAAATGGTGATTCACATTTATTGTGGATTAAATTCAAATTATACAATTAAATTCAATTTTTTTTTAAGAAAAAAAAAGAACAACAGAGCACATAAAATGTATTATGAGGAAAATGACAACAATGTTATTTCCTAAAATATATTTAAAATATTTATTTTATATTTATATTTAAATTAAAATATATTAAATATTTTATATGTAATATATTCTATTTAAAATATATCAAATATAAAATATATTATATTTTATATTTAAAATTTTTTAAATATTTTATTGTAATAAAATATTTAAATATATTAAAATTATATTAAATTTAAATTAAAAAATATAAACACTCCGAGAGTTGTCTTGACAGAAATCTTTTAATGAAATTCTGTATTAAATGAAACAGCCTGTGATAGGACACACACAACATAGGCTTTACCTGTCAGGATGCTGTTAACTACACATATATTAATTAATGTCTGTCAAAACAGATTGTTACCTGTGTTTACAAAGCCGGTTATTCCCATAAGATTTGTGCAGATAGAAACTGCTGAACCGAAGCTGATAAAATCAGCACAACAAACAGAAGTTGGTCTTCAGTTTCTGACACAGCAGATTTCAGCTAAGCTGCTTGATGTAAATTGCTTATCAACCGTCACATGAACGATTCCTGTTTCAATCTTATCATAAATCACAGACAAAGCAACAGTTGGTTCATATGGAGAATATCTTCAGTTTTTGACAGAGATATGGTTGTTAACTCGTCTAGCAACTCTCAAAACCCCAAATTGTGTGTTTTATTGAGGGTAGATGTGCTATTTTTTTCACCACAGAATGTAAAAATAAAACAATTCTTCATATATTTAAATACAATCAGAAGGAAATTCTGAACGTATTTTCAAGGTCACCTCATAAGTTGAGTTTGTTACGGTTAGATAAATGCATTTTTATCACTGATTGTGAATATAATCCTAAAAAAAACACACAGTCATTGAGGGTCGCCATTCAGGCTGTCAATCACAGGCATGTCAAACACACGCAGCTCTGTGTGAAATAATCAGGTGTGCGAGAGCGTGACGGCCAAACACCCGCCACATACGCGAGACGGGAAATAATAGCATAAGAATGAAGATTAACAATCTTTGATTTAGCCGTTCCCCATCCACCCACCTCAAGAAAACTTTAATCAAGAAAGGTTAAAGAATATTAAAGTTGTGCAGCAGTAAATTAGCAGGAGGAAATTGAATCAACCGCATGGATTTTAATACAGAGAGATGAGGAGCGAAAGAACTCACAGGGATTCATTTCGGTCACGACAATTTACTGAGAAAAAGAAATATTGGACGAAATCTCTCTCTGCAGCATCTGCCTAAAAGCAGATCTCGCCTCCCCTTCATGGACAGGATTCATTAGGTCATTTCACGACCTTCCATATCTCAGCTTCTGCGCTGATAAAGAGCAACTCGGAACAAATAGGATTTTTTTTTTTTTTTTTTTTGGTGGCATGCGGTCCCCTGATGAAACACATTTGTTTCACCCTGTCTCTATCTGTTCCTCCAGAGATGGATTGAAGGAGAGAGAGAGAGAGGGGGATATTCTAGGTGTTACCCCCGTGTCACAGGGAAAGTGCTCATTCTGGGAAATTTAATTATCGCCACCAACAGTCTGAGGATCCACAGCCGCACGAACTGTGTGTGTGTGTGTGTCACGAACATCCGCTAATGCAACACTCCTCGTCCGCCCCCTCCCGCAGTCCGTGGCCTACTTCCATCATTAAAACGTGTGTGGTTTACATGGCATACACTGATTGATTTGATAAGTGCATAATCATTTTAGCAAACATCTCCAAAAGCATTTGCCACAGTCTGAAGATGTAAGCGGTGTGAAATATTGCGTTTTCTCGTGATCGATATCTATCTGATTGTGAAAAGACCAGGGGCCAGATTTACAAACAGCTTATGCCAGTGCAAAGAGTTTCCCTTTCAGATGCAAAAGTTTTTGTATTTAAATGAATCATGTAAGGTGACACGATCACACGATTTTAGCCCGATTTTGGCACGATCCATTTGACGTAGGGTGTCGTGGGGATTCGTAAACGACAACGCGCGTCGGGACGCAAGATTCGATCGTATCATCTCGTATAGTGTGCCATAGTGGGCGACAACCTATGTTGCATCTGCGATGCTTCACGACATCACGACAAAAAGACTAGCATGTTTAATTTTTTTAACAGTCGTCCACGACGGTTCCAGGTTGACCAATAGGAGCACAGAAGTTTTTTCGTACGCAACTTTCAAAAATGGCGAAACGAAAGAGAGACGATGGTGCTAACGTTAAAACTAAAAGTAAAAATGTGTAAGAAAACAATATTTTACCTCAAGTTCTCTTTGAAGGATTGACAGCCCATACTGTCCTCTTCGAGCAATCCATGAACGTGTCCATGTCGGGTTTTCCTTTTTTTTTTTTCCCTTTTTTTCTGAACACAGGACAGCCAACACAACACTCACCGCTTCATCCATTGTTTGTTTACGTTCGTTTCCGGAAGTCACTCGCTACTAGTTTCGCCTTCTCGATGACGGCACACAATGAGCAACGTGCAGTCTGACATGTTTCTTGTCCACGACACGACAAGATTTTAGGAGTCAAAATTGCGTAATCTGACACAGTGACTATCGTAACAGACAAAAAATGCCCCGTTTACACTGCATGGTTCAAGTGACTCAAATCTGATTTTTTCCTCTCATCTGGCACAGATCAGATATGACCGGTGAACGTGTAATAGAGCCCGACCGATAAAGGATTTTGAAAGCCGACACCGATACAAATATTTGTTGGTTTTAAAATCCGATATATCGGCCGATATTTTGTTTATTTTTTATTTTTTTATTTCAGAAACGATAATAAGAGATGATACGTGTCATTGCTATAACTGTCACGCGCTATTAAAGAAATACTTCAGTCACATTGTCAAAAGTTAAAAGGACAGTCAGTCAACTACACTGTAACAACGTAACGTAACTATTACTAGCTAATTCCGCTTCACTCTCGGCTTATTTAACAGCAGCAAAACTGGACGTGATAGTCAGAATAGTCAACGACTGTGAAGAGTGCCCTCTGGTGGACAAACTCTACAACTCCAACACTCATGACATGGTTCAAGCGAGTTTCGTCCGTTTTTATTTTATTTTTGAAATATTCATTTATCGGCCATTATAACTGCCGATACCGATAGTTTGGAAAATGCTTAATATCGGCTGATAATATCGGTCTGGCTCTAACGTGTAAGCAGGAAAAAAAGGGCATGGCTTCCGATTTTCTCAGATCAGATTGAGGCCTCACTCATATGTGGTAATTAAATCGGATATGAATCGGATACGTGCATTTGCGTGTGCCATGTAAGCAGACAAATCGGATATTCCCCAGTAAATGCGAGTCGTACGTCATTAACAAAGTGACATCACCAACTGAGATCACATGACATAGGCGTGATGGTGGATGAAGGATACACTCAGTGGAGCAATGTGGAGGTGTCGCGTCTTTTGAGTGTTTGGGGCGAAGAGTGATGGCACAAATGCAGGGTTGTTACAAAAATAAATCCGTGTTAAGACATTTCACGGGATATGGGGAGGCACGGTTTTAGGCACAGTGCAAACAAGGGCTCTCCTCTTTTTCTCCGCCACATGAGACCAATGCTTTTCTGACTTTTTGGATGACTTAACACTGCATAATTTTATTTGCATCGGCATCTATTGTATTTCGTGCTGGTTTACTCCCTTTTCTGGGTCAGAACGTCTACATTTGGTAGTTTCAGCACTGTATAGTGTAAGCGGGTCATCAAAAAAATCGGATATAGTCAGAAAATCGGATTTGGGCATCAAGACCAGCAGTGTAAATGCAGCCTAAGGTTTGCGCTAGTCAAGTTACTGGCATTGGCGCCATTATTTACCTCCCAAATAAAAGCATGTCTTAAACTAGACTCTAAATTGCATGGCTTTTGATAGATTGTGTTGGTCATTATGTAAATGACCCGGCTGTGTCTGTTTTCTTTAATATGTGCGTCGTTATCAGCAATCACACGCAGAACTTTACACTCCCATCAGCGCTTTAATGACATAAAAATCTGGCCCCAGGTGTAAATGCCCTCCGAAATTCTTTAAACATAAACATCAGATCACTATCCCAATTCTGGGACTCATAGCAAATCTGGCCCTTCAAACCAAACTTTAACAACCTCTGCACAACTCGAGACGCCGTTCCCACATATAGGCCACACTTGAGCAGGCCTGCGCTACCGTGATCCCCACGGACGAAGCGGAGACCATTATTATTAATTAATTGTCAGGCGAAGTAATGAGCTCTGAATGAGAAATCCTTGCCAAGCTTGTGAAGACATGTGAAATATGTGCTGGTTGAAGTAAAGTGACTGTCAGCAATACTGCAGGGACGACCTCTCTACACGCTCTCACTAACGCCTCCTCTTTAACCTGGGACAATTTGTTTCGGGTACACCGGCAATTTATCTATGTCTGACTGACGGTGTGGACGGACAGTGCTTGTGTATGTGCGTACCATGTTGTATGGTCAGCCTTAAAAACATAGGAGACATAGAGTGTGAAATACACAATATAGCGTCTCTATAGTTTCTCTCATCTTTTCATTATAAACTATTAAAAATGTATATAATAAACATAATAAATCTTTGTACGACCGCACTCGTACAAATTCGTATGAATTATTGTAAAATATGTATGAAAAAAGTGTGAAATGTCTTGAGATCAGACATAAAACAATAGTGGGTTTAACATCAAAATGTATTATCTGATGTTAAAAAGTATAAGTATGTTTTTATAATGAAACCTTGGTCAGTTTAAGGATAATTTATGCAATTTTATAGAATTTATTTGAAAGAATTAAAACAGATTCATGTCTATCCTTGTATTATTCAGCTGGATGAGATTGATATGGGATTTTGAAAGTAATTAAAAGTAATTAAATACTTTTTAAAGAGAGTAATTAGTACAGTAATCTAATTACTATTAGTAACTAGTAATTAATGACTTTTTTAGAGTAACTTACCCAACACTGTCGGTTGTATAGATGAGAACAAAGGTGGACGGGATGAGTAATCAAACAAACTAAGAAACTGGTTCAAATACAGGCTGGAAAAACAGAAACAAAACACATAAGTACATGTAAGGGCTTATACTGTATAATATCAAGAAAAATTTAAATTTATGTAATAACTTCTAGTTAGTTCAACATTTTCATGAATCCAGTCTTTCGTATAATGTAGTGTCCTTGTGTCCATCCTCCTGCGTCTCACAGCCAAAGCCTTGTGGCATCGAACAACATAATTACAAATCAGGTCTCTCTAAGCCAGTGCCAGCGAAATGACACACGCTGATAAAGATGACACAATGATGGGCCACCGGCTGACAGATAGTATAAGCTCATGAATATTCATGACTTTAGGGTCAGACACCTCACAGTAATGCCAGGCTTCTTTCTGAAATGAGAGACACAAGCACACACACACACAAATTAACACAAATCTCTCGTGAGAGATCAGGAGAGAGGACGCACAAATTGAGATGGTGAGAACGCGTTAAATTCCGTGTCCTCATTCAGCGTTTCGATTGGTTGTTGTGTAATTCGACGGCTGAGTTATAATGACCCTCGTTATCGGTCCATCAGGCGTGCGCTTCCAAAAGGAAGCAATGATTACACGTACACAAACATGGCTGAATGAAATGGCTTTCGCTCCTCAATCACAACTGCTTGATGATATTACATCAATACATATGCAGGGAATCCAGTCAATGCATTTAAATCGCATGCAATTTTATTTTACACACACACTCTTTATAACACTACTCCTGCTGAATGGAAAGAGATATTCCTGTTATTAAAGCAGCTCTGGAAAATACAAATTCTGTCATACTCGTTCAAACCCCTTTCTGTGAAAGAGAAATAAAGCATTTTGTGCAGAATATTTTGAAACATGATAATCTTCAGTCACCAATGAACACAAGTTGAAACCTAAATTAAAAGGGTCATGAACTGGCTTTTTAAATTTTATTATATTGTTGTCTGAGGTCAAATTATGACGTTCGCTTGTTTTTTACATTCAAAAACATGAAAATGAGTAAGTAATGGGCCATTTTTATACCCTAGTTTTGAGTCTAGCCAGGGCCTGAAATTAACTTTTTCGGCCACCGGCCACTGTGGCAGGTGGATTTAAAAATTCACCTGCCACAGAGACTTTTTACCAGCCACTTTTTTTTTTTTTTGCCTCATATTTTGCCTCAGCCAAAAAATGGCTGGTAAAAAGAACAATATTGTGAAATTCCTGTTTTATTTTTTTTTCACCTTTATATAAAGGTGAAAAAAAAAATGGGAATTTCACAATATTGTTCTTTCACTTGTAAGAATACACATTTAAGTGCTGTCAAGTAATAATAATAACTCTAAGAACATACATTTTTTAAAAAAAATCTTTTAATTCATTGATTTTGATACTCACACAACATATAGGCCTATAGGCTATATAGTATACTCAACAGATAGACCTACCGCAGCAGCTCGTATGTAAACAAATCACACGCGGCTGTGTTGATGGCTGATTTAGTCACGTAGACAGATCCTGACAGCTTTTAGTTGCAGCGTTCAGGAACCGTTAACTATGAACTAAATTAATATTGTTATTACTGGTAAAGTTACCGGGTAACGTTACCGGATATTTTCTCACTGGTTCCCAACTCCCAACATGCACAGTTGCACACGCACACACATCTGTGCAACTGTCATTGTACTGTAGGCTACGTCAGCGTTACATTATCTCATCCCATCTCACCAACAGTTTAATACTCGCACATCCAAACGTAGTCAGAAAAGGGCCTCGTCTTCTTCTGATCGCATGAACGTTCCGAAACAACAGTCGCTGTCATAAATCAGCCGCTCACGAACCTTGCCATTGCCGCCAATTGTCCACTTTGTATTAAAATGTCTTCTTTTACTTTTCTTTTTTTCATCCTCATCTTTTTGTTGGTTGTTTGTTTCAGCTGGCCTCTTTACCCCAGTAATGTGCCGCCACATTTTAGCTAAAGTCAAACGCAATGGCGAACTTGTTGAAATGTAAAAATCCTAATGAATCCCTCAATTCTCATTGGCTACCTGCCAATGTGGCAGGTAGATTGACAATGTTACCCGCCAATGGAAAAATTCACCCGCATTTGGCAGGTGGTCGGGTGTTAATTTCAGGCCCTGAGTCTAGCTGAAAAACACTCGGTTTTTATGGGCGTCTCGCACTGAAGACTTGGAGGTAAACGGCCACTGCTGTGAGTGGAGAACAGTTTTGCATATTATAATGAGTTTCAACTCACCCGTCGATGCACTTGGGGGAAGTTGTTTTGAAAAGGTCCAATGTTGTAAAATGGCAACCGGAATGATTCGCCCATACATGTTCGACCCAGAGTCCAGAGAATTCCTGTCGGATCCAATATAGACGGCACAGCACTGTTCTTTACTCTTAATCGGTCTGCAAATCCAGTCTTGTTTACAAAACAATCCTCAGTGAAATGAAGCGAACAGACGGCCGATGTTTTACCTCATCAGCTGGAACGTCATTAAAAATAAAGTTTATCCATGCAGTCCTACTGTATTGGAATCCAGAGGAAGTGTATGCAGCGACTGTCTTTTCCACAACCAGGCGCTGCACAATATTCTGTATTGCTCGGTAGCTCAATCCGGTTTGTCATCACAAGGTAGGCATCTATGTTATTTAGCTATGCGTGTAATGTGCGAATCAGTGGGCGGGGCTAAAGTGGCCGTGTTGAAGGCGTTGATCTTCTGCGGGGGTGGGGTTTTATCCTCTTTGACATCATAGTTCCCCACTTTGAAAAACGAGTCGTTTTCAGAGGCTGGTGTCAATAAAAGCTTTTATTGGACTAACAAGGACGTTTTCAGTTCTGAAACTTACAGGATATTCTTATAATATGATGACCTCTTAGATGTCAAAATCTCAAGGAAAATTTGATTTCTCACTTCATCACCCCTTTAAACTTGTGTACACCACAGACCTTAATTTAGGCATTTAACCAAAAACCCATAAAAAAAACCCACTGACTTCAGGACGATGAGTGCTAAAATGCGAATCCACGGCTGCATTTCAAAGTCTTACCGTAACACTGGATTTCAATTACAACAAACCACAAATCTCTAGTGATCCAAGTACTTTGGGATTGACAGTGAATATCCAGCTTCAATATAACAGAATTATGGCACATAAAAAAAACAAGAGCCGTCTGACTGACTTTAAGGGAGTCGACCATTTAAAAAAAAAAGAAAAAAAAAGGCAACAAAATCCTTTACAGTTTTACATGGAAGCAAAAAAAAAAATTATATAAAAAATACTTACACTTCAGAGAAAGAATCTTCATTCCTGGCCTAAACAATTTCCTTATTGCAGAACCAGTTCTCACGTGAACATACTTGTGCACTGCAAAAAAACTATTTATTTTGACATGATTTACAGTAAATTGTGTGTGTGCGTGAAGGTTTGACTATACGTGTGAGGGCCAAATATCCTCACTTGAAATATTATGACAACCGACTAGTGAGGACATTTTACTAGTCCTCTCTAGTTAAAAAGGGTAATAACTCGTCCAGATCGTGTTTTTCTTTAAATCTAGTGTTTTGCTCATGGTAGGTTTAGGTTTGGGGGTCGGGTTAGGCCATAGGAAATATTATTAACCTGATATAAAATCAGTGGAAGTGTATGCAATGTCCTGTAGTGAAACAAACGTGTGTGTGTGTTGAATAGAAATGAGGGGACTGATCATTTGCGTGGTGCAGATAAAGCGCTCAGTGACTGTGGCATTTAAGCAGGTCAAGAGCACCGACCTCAGCTGCCGAGAGGAGACGAGAGGAGAGCGCAAACACACACACACACATTGCTCACAATCTCTCGCACTGCTTCTGTTTCCAACAAATAGATGGTCTGCACACTCAAACTCACACACACACTCTGTCATCTTGATTTATTGAGCATGTTCAGTGTCATGAGTCTCTGTATCCCCTTTTAAGATGTTCCCTCTCTGTCTCGTTCATCACTATATTAGCATATATATTTCCCAGATTCGGACTTGGAAATAAAAGTACCAGTTGGCACTAGAAAGGGTTATACAGTCTGACGCCTCTGGGAAAACTTCAAATATTGTATTAATATAAATCTCACGACGATGGACGATGGTCCACATGCAAATGATACGGGTCACTTTCTATTAGGTGAACAAACTAACGTTTCAGAGGTCAGCCTTCATCCGTGTGTCGTAAATCAATGTACTCGCACTTTCTTGTATCAATCAACAATAATATCAAACCAAAATCAACAATAATATCTATATTTTAAAACAATCCACACACACAATCACAATATCATTTACAAGTAATTTTTCAACCACTGTAAACCTTTCAAAGCAAACTAAAGCCTTTCACAAATGACAGAATTTATTGTTAATATTATTTGCATGTTCAGCCACATGAAATAAAGTCTCAACATGAAACACCATTTTATTTACTGTCATACATAATTAAATTATTATTATAACTTAGATAGGAATGCAATATATACAGAAATTTTAATAAAATAGAAAATTATAAATTTTTGTAAAAAATTAGTGTAAAAAAATATTTTCATGATTCGTAATCACAACATTTTTTCTTTTTTCAAATCATAAATATTAAAATAACATAATATTTTGAGTTTCTGATGATTAAATCAATCTTCTTCATTGTATTAACTCAATTTTTCCATTTCAATGAACTTAAAATTAAGGCAATCAGGTTACTTCATTTTTTAATTAAACCAACAATATATATTTTACAGTGTGTATATATATATATATATATATATAATCACATTATACTATACATAATTATTATTAAAATATGTTTCACATGTTATTCTTGTTGTTATTATATACTTATTGTGTTATATAATTAGTATAATATTATAATTTTAACATGTAAATAACAAACATGTAAAAATCAAAATGTTGCCAGTAAATTTGGTTCCAAAAGCTGTTTCGTGTTGAGTCTGAGACCTTATTTCATGTGTCTGAACATATAAATTATCATGAGAAGTTTTTAACCAGCGTCTCTGTCTTCCACGCACACTGTGAAAAAATATTGTTGGTTTAACTTAAAAAAGTAAGTAACCTGGTTGCCTTAAAATTTTAAGTTCATTGAACTGGAAAAAGTGAGTTAATACAATGAAGGAGAATGATTTAATCATCAGAAACTCAAAATTATATGTTATTTCAGCTAAATAAATTATTATAAAGTTAATTTGACAAAAGAAAATATGTTGTGATAACAAATATTTTTTTACAGTGCAGATAGGTTTATGAACCTATCCGTGTTCATCATCTCGCTTACAGTATGAAAAGGAGACACTACACACTCCACACACTGCAGAACTCCCCCAGTGAGAGACGTTTGAGCTACATCTGGTGGTCTCGCCTCATTGGCTTGATAGAATACTAATAAAAGCCATATGACAACAGCATACCAAGTATGCAATTAATATTCTAAAATATTCTACCTCTCCATGTGGCGGAGACCTGTTGGAGTCGCGTAGCACACCGGACTGGCAGCTCTGTCTGTGTGGCAGTGAAATGATGTCCTTATTAACCTTTATTACAGCAGACGCACATCCACACACACATTTACTCAAGGCTGTAATGCAAACAAGACCAAACTACTCTGAATTGATTTTTAGGAATTATACACGACATCCAAATTTTACTGTGTGCAAAATCTATTCATAGTTTCAGTTATGTGACAGAGCCCTGGAGGGCAACGTATCTATAGAGCTGTCAATCTCAAGCCACGGATATTTAGATCAACTATCAAAGGAAGAAACACAAAGATGTGTGAACAAACACTTGCACTGCGATCCAGCCACACAAAACAGAAGGATATCCGAAAACATTTCACATGCCCTATGTACTCGATATACACCCTACCATCTAAAATCTTTGAGTTATGAATAATTACCAGTATAAATGTGTCCTGTAAGATCATTATCATTTTTTAAGCTCAATGAGTGCAGACGCTTCATGCCTAGAGAGTTGACCTAGATATGAGCCTAATAAACTACGTGGATGGCTTTCATTTGCATAACCTTCTATTTTCCATAAAATGCATCTGCATATGTACATGTTTGTCATTTTCATGACATTAAAGGGGCACTAAGGACGTTTTTGTTTGTTTTGCCAGTCGATTAGGCTGGACTAAATATAGCTCGGGATTTTACTGGAAAACAGGACAAAAATACTTTATTTTTTGCAATAAAGGTAATGGTTTCGATTCTCAGGGAATGCATGAATTGAAAAAAAGTGTAGCTTGAATGCAATGCAAATGTCCAGCAACATAGCAAGCAAGCCCAGCCCAGGTAAGAAAAAGTAACGCAAAAGTAATGTAATGCAATGGATGGCGTCGGGATGTCCGTCAAAGTGCGTTTTTACTTTTACAAACTTATTTTTACTTCTAAATGAAGATATAAGAACAAATATATAATAGTATATCGATACATTGAATCACGTTCATTCTCTTGTACGTTACGTCCGAACACGCGCAGAAAGTCGCTGGCTGCAGTTCACTTAATGGCCACCGGTGTCACTAATAACAAGGGGTTCAGAAACCTACATATAGCCCCTTTAATACTTGATATTGAATTTAATGATTGATATTGATACTACTAAATCCTAGAGCATGAGCAAAAGCAAGTGGTATTTGAATGAACAAACACCACGAATAAAAAATCATAATGTGAAGTTTATAAATCAGAAGTTAGCCTGCTGATTCTGAACAGAAACACTAAGCACATTTAGTCGTCACATAAAAGGATTAAAAAAAAATTCAATTTCATTTTATGCCTTTTCAGTGCCGTTTGAATGGCTCCTTCAGGTTCTCTTCAGGTAGATCCAGAGGGAAAAGGCACATGGCGTTCCCAGCAAACCCTTAAGCATTTCGGCTCTGAACTTCCATTATCCGTCCCTGTCCCCTGGGTAAGCTAAAGCACTATTGCAGAGAGAAACCATCAATACTTCAGACCAAACAGGCTTTGTCCGAGTTTGAAGAACAGCTGGCATCCGTCATCCCCGGCCCACATTACGGATCTAAAGTATTGTTGGATTGAAATAATTTGCCATAATTGAGATATAACAGAGAGGCTATTTGCATTTGTTAGCATTTAAGGAAACGCATGAGCACCTGGGATAAATCCAGCGCCGACCCCTTTTAGTAGTGGGTTAAACCGGGCTTTTCCCAATGTGCAATGAGCATGACAGACCGTCAATCTCTCTGTCAGTAAAGCTTCCTTATCAATGGCGGATTCACACACTGCCATAATATGACATTGAGGTGGGAAGGCAATCATCCGTGAGCTGCGGCTCTTTGAAAATCCAACATTTACTCAATTTCAAGGAAATAAAAGGCTTTCATTCAGCTCAATATCAAACTTAATATCTACCTTTGAATTCAGGTTAATATAGTCTCATAGTCTAATATAGTTCACATTCATATATTCATAACTATTTTAATTGAAACAATTTTGGATCAAAATATTAGAGAACATTTTTCACATCGTTACTCCAGCCTTCAGTGTCACATGATCCTTCAGAAATCATTCTAATATGATGATTTGCTGCTCAAGAAACATTTCTGATTACCATCAATGTTGAAAACAGTCATATTTTTGTGGAAACCGTACTAAAACACAATCTGCAGACAGTGCCAATGCTTCAAAACATCACGATCGTGATGGGAATGATCGTCAGAGGCATGTCAGTTACCGATTTATGATGAAAGACAATTGATATTGATCATAAAAGAATGTTGGCAGTACACATTTTGAGTAATATTGCCAGAAAACACCAATTTAGCTGATCATTAATGTGGAAACTACATTTCCCATCATTCTCTGTGACACCAAGAATGACAAAATACATCAATTACTCAACTAATGCACATCCTTTGCTCTTCATGATGTTAGATTAGAGCTAAAATGTGTCCTGCATGCCTTGAGAAGTACATAATCGAGTAAAAGCATGCAAAAATCATTCGAACACACATCATGGTGTAATTATGATTTCTAGAGGGCTGGAAAGAAGCATTAGTCAATCAGTCAGTCTAAGTGGATGGAAGATTTAGCTTGCGTATTATTATTTATGTATTGGTTCAAGTAAAGGATATGGTCTTATGACTTTCAACATGGTGAAGATAAAGCATAAAGTGACCCTTTGTCTTTTTTTGTCCTGTGTTTTTTCTGTCTTTCTAGGTCAGCTGCATCTGTAGCACTCATGTGAACCGACGTGTGAGTGCTCTCCTATATTATTTATCACTATTTCAAGAATATCTCGGCAATACCGTAAAATGTTCAGAAGCATGAAGACAACATGAAACGGCATCCGCATGTGTATGTGTACAACGATTCAAATCAAAACCATTTAGAGACAGAGTAAACGGCACGAACATAATTAGCAAACCAAGTAAAGTCAGTTTTGATTTCATGCCTTTAAACACATCCCTGATAATGTTGGAATATTTGTTATTAGGACTAAGATATGTGCATTTACTTAAGGAGTGACACTGATAAAGCTGTACGAACCGGCACACATGTAGGTCAGGTGACCTTCAGAAAGATGGAAACGTATTGCTTCATCGCCTCATGAGGTCCCGCACTGAACCCCGGTCCTGCTATTTCTCACCCAAACGCCAGGCTCTGAATGGATGAACGGCGCCGTTTGTGAAGGTTAGACCAAATGCTCCTTGAGTGATTATGTCACAGCGGACCTGCTCCAGATCTTTCCGGAAACAATCCTCTATTGCATGACAAAAAAAAAACAACTCATGTCCAGACAATTTCAGGTCATTTTCAAATCAGGTCAGCATGATTTTGTTTTTCTGTGAAGACTTACCGGGAGGGCTGAAATCTCAAACTGAAAGCAGAGAAAAGTTTTCCTAGGTGACTAAGTAATGAATGAAATGAGTCATCATTGACTCACCCTTGTGTCGTTCCAACCCATTTGACTTTCTTTCTTCTGTGGAATAAAAGAGAAGTTTAGAAGAATGTTCACGCAGCTCTTTTCCATATATAGTGACTTGATTTCATGACGAAAAAACACTATTAAAGCATCATAAGAGTACTGCATATGGCACTATTAAAGGGTAATTCCACCAGTGGAGACATGAGTATGTATTGAAAGTGGGTCATATGTAGTCGAATAGTACGATACATTTCTAATTTGGGTCCTTCTTGACCGATAAAAGGCAGAAAATGACTTTTTAGTGCTTGTGTATTATAGACAACAATCCCCATAATGCATTGCAATGCTCAGCAGGCCACTCCCACTACTCCGCCCATCAATGTAGACTAGAGTTGAGCTCCACTCTACGTGACCGCCTGGAAATCATTTCGTCCAATGAAATCAGATAATGCGCGCTAATATAATATGACGACGTAAGAGCGTCAAGGCGGCGCCCATGGGCTTCAGACACAATCGGCACACTTACTCTGACGCGCAATTTTACACGTGAAATGCAGTTTTGTCTTCGGCATCGTCATTAATCCCCTCTCTATCAGACGTTTCGGGAGTCTCCCACATATTGATAACGGCTCCCTGATGCCCCAGACTGATCTCATGAAGTAGCGTGTGTATGACACGCCAATTCGTATTTCCATTTTTGGCGTGCTATCAACACGCATAATCGCTTTTCAGCGTGTTTATGAACACCGTTGACTTAATGTTATTACTGTATATATAAATAGGGCTGGGTATCGAGACAAAGAAATTTCACAATTCGATTCGATTTCGATTCACAAGCTTGCAATTCAATACGATTCAATATCGATTATTTTGGATATCAGTTACAATAAATGGCAATTTTTCTCAAGGAAATCAAATCTCTTAACGAATGCTGTAAACTATGGGAGTCTAGTTGTAGCTTATAGGCTTCATTAGCCTAATATGAAGGTAATAATGAACTGTTTTGTAGCTATACAAACACTTAAATTACACTTTTATTTATTTTTATAATAAGAAGATTATATGAAATCTAAACATTTAAATGGTGGCTGTCATAAAAACTTGCCAGATTTATTCAAATATGCATTCAATATTGAGGAACACTAACGAGTGTGGACTAACGAGTTTATGTGGGTTTTCTGAGGTAAATATGACGATACATTGATTACAAGCTGTTTAACTGACGTCTTTCCACGGTTGAAACGCTGATTGAGCGAATCAATGTGACATAATACGGATTTCGATAAGTTGTACTCTATCTTTTAACACACTTTCAGATGCTCATTCATGTTTATTTCGCGCTGTGACTCGTATTATTAAGCCGGAAGAGAGATCAGCGCTGCTGCTTCTCTTGAGCTGAGTCAGAGCGATCTCACGCCACAGCGCCAAAACGCTATTTATGTTTTTGAATTTCTAAAGAAAATGGACGTAATTTGAAAATTGCGACTTTGTTTCATATCAATAGTAACAAAGGACAAAGATTATTGCGATTTTTTGGATGCGCGCAGCCGCGATACAATGTCCCATTCATTCAAATGAAACAGGATGACTAATCGATTCTTGAGATTTAAGAAATCGATATCGGTTTGTAAAAATGAGAATCGATTAATATTGAGAAATCGATATTTATTACCCAGCCATATATATAAATATATGACTTACCTCAACCCCGTCCCTAAACCTACCCGTCACTGGGGTTAATGGCATTTATGACTGTTCCCTTACCATCCTAGGAAGAAAAAAAAAATCGCTTCCCAGATGTAGATCTACATTTTGCTTCGTTTCGCTCGGACATTTGACGGCGTGTACAGACACGCGGAATCACCTGAACATTAATGGCGTAGACATACGCGGATACCTCAAAATGCATATAGATAACACGCCACTTGACTCGAAAGTGGCGTGTATGTTTACGCAAAAGTCATGATGTCATGTTGGCAAATTAGTTAAAATCTCTTGTAATCAAGAGCGCGCATGCAAGACAGATAAGACTGTGCTCCAATAAACCGTATAGTTTAGGAATGAACTGTTCTTAGGAAACAACTGCATGAAATGTATTTGAAAACAACACAATAAACAATTGAAACAACATATGACGGAAGCGATGACCAAGTATTCGTTAATGGGTGAACTGTCCCTTTAAAGGCCCATTGGAAAACTTTCAGCTCCAGACTGGCAGCTTCCCCAAAACTCCCGCAGACCTTGAGACCATGAAGGATGTGTGGACGAGGGAGGTGCTGACGTTCATGGAGGACATTAATAAGGCTGGAGTGATGAATGGAGAGACTCCTGCACATTTAGACTGATGGAGCTCCAGATCAATGCTCCTCCACAGCAGATACACCATCGGCCCAGCCGGATAACCCCATTGTTTAAATGGAGTGACGCGTAATTTACGCTGTGGTAAAGGTTAACGACGAGAGAATCACCAAATTATCAATTCATCTCCAAGCACATTTATTGTCTGTCTCACCTGTGTTCTCTCTTTCTTTACATCCTTGCCACCTCTCTCTCGCTCGCCCTCTCTCTCTCCGGCTGTGTTTGGCTTCAGAGTTGTGTTTTTTCCAGGTGGCGTAATTTGTCGGCTTTATCTTGTTGGAGGGATTGAGCTGGCTTTGGGGAGCATGCTTAGATACCGGCTACATCCATTATCTGTCAGAGGATAACCTGATTCAGAGCGGCTGCTGCCAGACAGACAGAGAGAGAGAGAGAGAGAAACAGAGAGACGGGCCTTGTTCTGTGTTTAATTTTCAAGCTGATCAATTAGAGGCCGACTTGCAGATCGCCGCAACACATCTCTTTTCACAAGAGTGGCAAAAACAAGATTATGACTGGAAAAAGCCGCTGCACTGGATACAATAACACTGATAGAGACTATTGGAAACACATGCCCTCACAATCATTCATTATCCGCGTGTAATAATGAGCAAAGCTCATTTAGCTATTCTACACTCTTAGAAGAAATGGTTCTATTTAGAACCAGAAATGGTTCCATCCCCCGCTTCATATATGGAACTCCAAAATGGTTCTATATAGAACCATTTTTTTGCTAAAAGGTTCTATTGGCCAAGTATGGAACCCCAGGGTTCTATATAGAACCCAGAGGAACCCTTTTTTTAAGAGTGTATAGAACCTTTTAGGGGTTCCAAATATGTAGCGCTAATAGAACCTTTTAAGGTTCTATATAGAACCTTTTCTTCTAAGAGTGTAAAATACATAATAAAGTAAAAAACACTGGGTTCACTAGATACAGTGCATCACACAATGGCAATACTTTAAAGGGATAGTTCACTTTGAAATTAATTTTTGATATATTTTATCTTACCTCAAGGGTATCCCAGATGTAGGTGTCTTTGTTTCCACAGTAGTTTCAATTTTGATATTTTTAGGTCAAACCGTTCTTGTTTGTCAGTCATATAATGGAGGTCTATGGTCACCACCTCAAAGAGAATACACAGAGAAGTTCAGATTAAACATGATTTAATGACTATTAAAGCAATAAAGTACTTAATGTCACTAGACAACAATTAAAAACCATTTATCCTGAATATAAAATAATACAATTAAATATAGAAGTGTTATTTGACGAAATAAAATAATAAGCAAATAATGCAGCGTTTCCATTCCTCGATTCAAAAAGAGTCATTTACAGCCATTGTATTTCCATCTTAGTTTATGATCGTGTCTCCTGTCTGATTTTAGGTGCGTTAAATGTTAGGAGTTTGTTTGATTGACCTCAAACAAGACTTCTCACAAAAATAAACTCCACAAATGAGGGTCTGAATAATGAGCGCTGGTCGTCTTTCGAGCTAAACAAACACAGACGGCGTATGTAAGACTATACGACAGCAGAGCAGCTTGTGTCTGGTTTTGAAATGAGAAGACATGAAATCTTGATATGAGATTACAGCACAGGAAAGTTTCAAACATAGACAAATCCCGTCCTCGCTAACGCTTAGCCAACCTTATCAGTGCGCCGTTAAACATTTCATTAGATTTCAGCCGGATATAAACACAGTAACCAGAAGTTTTATCGTTTTTACATTTGTTAGGCCTACAAACATGAATAGAAGTAGCCTAATATTGATAATGAGAGGGTAAAAAACTCCTTAAACAAAACGTCCTGAGATACGTTTCACCCGTGAGCTTCATGGTTTCCATTCATCTTCATTTCAGCCCGCCCGCAAGATAGCAAACACACTCACGTGATTCGTCATGAACTGAGACGCCTTTCAGTAAAACATACTGAATCCTGTCGTGCTGGGAAGATTGTCAGATTTATTTTCTCTGTGTTTCAATGATTTTTAATTTAGGTCCCTACCGCATTGTACAAAGACAAACATGTTGATGTTTGAGCATGAAAAAGGCCTCCAAAGTCCCTCCAGAGTGAGTTCTTCTCTATATCAGTGTCAGTGTTTCTGAACGCCCTGAAACGCCTCCGTTTTAGTCTCGAGTTTCTTCCAGGAACGAATATTCCTCATTTAAATAATTTATACGCAGAATAAAGGGGCGTGGCCTGGTTGAGTTAGTTAGTAGTGTGTTGAAACTGGCGGTTATGGTAAGGGGTGGGGCATTTCGCAAACACACTCGAAGCGCTTGACCAATCACAACACACCGGTCCAGCCGACCAATCAGAGCACAGTGTGCTTTTCAGAAGGAGGGGCTTCATAGGTATCTATGAACTCGTCTTAGTGAAGGGAATAACATAGTTTAATATGAAAAAACGGTGGAGTATCCCTTTAACCAACGTTGTTGAACAACCAATTTGAGACTATACAGTTTCAGGAAACAGTCGTGACAATAGTTGATTTCTTCAATGATGCATCGTACTAAAATCATTGTACGGGAAACACACACCAGTGTTATTGACAGACTGGAAGAGAGGAGCTGCAACAATGGAGAATATGGGGAAAAATAATGTATTTTTGAACATTATAGAATGAAAGCCTATTCTAGACCCCAAAAACACAATCAAGACTTTGTAAAAGGGCATATAGTGTGAGGGTTTGAAAGGTAATAGGATGTTGTCGGATGAAATAAAAAGGATGAAAGTGGTGATTCATCACCTTGTCAGACTCCAGCACCTTCCTCTTATACAACACTCTCTTACACACTCTTCTCACGCTGCTTCTGTCATGACCTCCATCAACCTCATCTCACACTCAGATGCACATGTTCAAACACTCATCCTTATCATTAATTTGTCATTTATTTGACACTTTTATCTACAGTGGCTTACAGTGACACAAAGAAAGTCCTTAAGGAGGAGTAACATTTAGCAGAAGCTCTTTTCCAAAGCGACAAAAACAGCAACTAATTCAAGATCTGCATGGCATGTGTTCAAATCAAGTCAATTCAAGACCAAGACTAGTTTAGATCAAGTTTTACCAGATCATGTCAACAGTTTTATTTTTAGTTAGTTTTATAAACCCTTTTGCAGGACAATGTAGGATAAAATAAAATAATCGTATATGAAATAATATATTTATAATATTTATTTATTAATATAGATTTGTATATGTTGCAGGTTGGTTTTATAAACCCTGTTGCATGACAATAATAATAAAATCAAATAAAAAATAGATTTTATATGATATCATATATTTATTGTATTATTTATTTATTAAGATAGTTGGCTGTGTTGCACGTTCGTTTTATAAACCCAATTGCATGGCAATACAATAAAATAAATTAGATTTTATATGAAATGATATGTTTATTGTATTATTATTTATTTATTAATATATGCTGTGTTGCAGTTTAGTTTTATAAACCCTGATGCATGACAGTAAAATAAAATAAAATAGATTTTATATGAAATAATATGTTATTGTATTATTATTTATTTAATAATATATTTTCTTGGAGGTTTGTTTTATGAATCCTGTCGCATGAAATAAAATAAAAAATATACTGTATATTTTTTTTATTAAAAACCAATCGATATTAAATAAATATCGATGTTGCGGTTGGTTGTATAAACTTTGTTGCAATAAAATAAAAAATAAATGAGATTTTATAATATAAATAAATTATACGAAATAGTATAGTTTTGCAAATGCATTATTATAGGGATAAAATAGGGATCTTGTAGCTCTCCAAACACATTTTCACAGATGTGACAGATATTGCACAAGAGGCTTCTTTGTATCTAAATAATACCATAAAATTACAACCAAAATATTATACAATAACACGAGTTGTGTCCATTAGGAGTTTCAAAGTTTCAAGACATTTTTTTGTTTTTGTTTTGTTTTTTGCAAATTCAGTTTGAATTGAGCATGCAATTTAGAGAATTAGTATCTGCTTAAAAAGTAATATGTATTTTCTGAATGCCTGTGTAAATCTCACACAACAATGGTGTGTTTTACACAATGAGCAATAGTGAAACATCTCTTTCACTTCCATAATATAGTCCAAAATTCTATTTGGAATCCTTTTAGATTTTTTTTTTCCACAATATAAGAACCAATCCAGACCCAGACAGCAACATAGTGTCGGCCAAGATCCGGCCCACATCTGGTACTTGTTCACTCTAAAAATGCTGGGTTGTTTTAACCCAACTTTGGGTCAAATATGGACAAACCCTAATGTTGGGTTAAACATGAAATTAAAAAATTTAACCCAATGGCTGGGTTTGTCCATATTTGACCCAAAGTTGAGTTAAAACAACCCAGCATTTTTTTAGTGTTGAATCCACATGTACCAGATGTGACCCGGATCTGGGCCGACACTATGTTGCTGGGGGAGTCTGGGGAAGTACTGTTCATTTAGAGCATTCAGAATACAGCAAGCAAGGCTCTGATAAAGATTGTTCACTAGAAAAATTCAGTTTATCCAGTTGGATTTAATTAATTCTAAGAGGACTTGTTATTCGAACCCATCTCGATTCTAAATTATGACAGAATTCCAATCGGAATCTTTACACATTCATTTAGGATCTTAACCGTAGATGAAAGATCTGAATCAGAGCCTCACGAACCTTCATCCATTCAGCTTGCATCTCAGATCTCCGACCACACCCTCACAAACTTTCTCTCTTTCATCTTTCTCGCTATCTTTGCCTGCCTCTGAAGTCGGAGTGATCTGTGCGTGTTCGGGCTGTGCTTTAATGCTCCTTTGAGGTTTCAGGGCTGTGCAATCTTCCTCGTGGAGGGAGTCCGAGTCTCCGCCGGCTGGATTTCATTTTGATCATTAAGATCAGAATTAGCCGTCTGACTTTCACACTTCAACCGTGTTAAGCTGTTTAGAAAGGCAGAAACACTGGGATGTGCCGCGACTACTGATGCTCCCCAGAATCAGCCACTTCCCAAACCATTAAGAGCCACTTTCACGCCTTAATTTACACAAATCAAACAAATTAGGGGACTGCAGCGCTTATTAGACTTGTGTTCTTCATTCGCCACGTGACGGCCTTTCGTTTGAAAGTTCAGAACCACATTCTGTGCTCAAGTTTCAGTCCACGATTAACCGGGTTGATGTCCTCCATATGATTAACCCCTGTCAGTATCTCTCCGGCTTATCAAGAATAGAGATCACATTAAAACACAGATTCTAGAAGTAGCTTTACTGCCATCAAATAAACTACAGCACACAAGACTAGTCATTTATCCTGATAGATAAAACAATTAGCCTACATCCTGATAGAATGGATTTGATCCAGAATGGCTGGAAGAC